TTTTTTTTTTTTTTTTTTTTTTTTTGTTTTCAACAAAGTAAGAAGCACATCTGCATTTAGATTCTGCATGTGCAAAACTACTTGAGGATTTTTGAGAAAACACAAGGTGACACGTCTCATTGCAGCAGAAGGCTTCCAGATGTCAATTTTGCATCTCTTACGTGTCATCTCCTCAACGTTGATGTCGATTGTATATGGGTCGTGATATAAAAATAATTTTTTGTATAATTTTTTTTATACAATTTTTACATGTTATTAAATAAATAGATACATTTAATATTGTAAGTTTTAAATAAATAAAAAAAATCAATCATATAACATGTAAAATTATACAAAAAAACATAATATCAAAAAGTTATTCCTAAATCATTTTTCATTCTATATAAAGCGGACTCGTTCCTTTGCCTATGAAAACATAACAAAATTAACTTCTTCAAAAATCAGCTTTTGTTTTGTGATATTTTGGTGTGTATTTCCTAGAGAAGGAAGATCCATGGCTTCAAGGCAAGAGAAGGAGGAGAGCGCAGAGGCATTCCCGAGGCTCGCTGCCTCTGATCTCAGAGATGTTAACAGGAGGAGAGAATATGAAGAAAAAGTCACTACCACTTATAAAGTGGAGACAGAGCTAGACCAACAACAACAGAGGCCTGGAGTCATTGGCTCCGTATTCAGAGCCGTTAAAGAAGCTGCCACTGGGAAGAGCCAGGACGCAGCTCAAGTGGCGAGAGAGACTGGAGATGCAATGACGGGAAAGGCTAAGGAGTATAAAGACTACAGCACGGAGAAAGCTCGGGAAACTGCCAATTCAGCTGCGCGGAAGATGAAAGAGTATGGCGACTCTGCTGCGCAGAAGATGAAGGAAACCAAAGCTGCAACAATGGGGAAGGCTGCAGAGTATAAAGATTCTGCTTTGGAGAAAGCAAACCAAGCAGCAGAGAAGGCAAGAGAGACGAAGGATGCCATGGGGGAGAAGGCTAAGGAGTACGCGGACTATACTGCTCGAAAATCGAAAGAAACAGCAAACTCTGCTGTGGGGAAGATGGGAGATTATGCAAATCAAGCGGCGGAGAAGGCTAAAGAGACTAAAGATGCAGCGGTAGAGAAGACTAAGGAGTATGGTAACTATACTACGAAAAAAGCAAGGCAAGCTAAAGGCTCTGCCATGGAGAAAATGGGAGAATATAAAGACTATGCCGCAGACAAGGCGAAGAAGTGTGGAGATTATACGGTGGAGAAAGCCAGAGAGACGACCAACACTGCTATGGCGAAAACGGGAGAGTACAAAGACTATGCTGCAGAGAAGGCGAAAGAGACTAAGGATGCCACGTTCAATAAGGCGAAGGAATATGGCAACTATACGTCGGAAAAGACTAAGGAAGCAAGGGACACGGCAGTGGGGAAAGCTGGTGAATATAAAGATTATGCGGCACAGAAGGCTAAGGATGCAAAGGAAACGGTGACGGGGAAGACAGGGGAATATAAAGATTATGCGGCACAGAAGGCTAGGGATGCAAAGGACACGGTGGCAGGGAAGGCAGGGGAATATAAAGATTATGCGAAGGAAAAGGCAAAGCAGGGGAAGGATGCTACGATGGAGATGGCCAAGGAAGCCAAAGATACAACTGTGAAGAAGATGGGAGGGTATACTGATTATACTGCAGAAAAAGCAAAGCAAGGGAAGGATACGACGGTGGGCAAGCTGGGTGAGTTAAGAGACTCCGCCGCTGATACGGCCAAAAAGGCGATCAATTTTCTCACCAGAAAGGCAGATGCAGAGGGAACGGTGGGTGTCTTAAATAGAAAATTAAATCCCGGTGTAAAAAAATTTCATTTTTTTTAGCAAAATTTTATTTATTCTGCAGGAGAAGATGCTGGATGCTGAGATGACGGCGGAGGCGAGGAGGAGAATGGGGGAGATGAATCTGTACGGGCAGGAGAAGCCTGAAAGATCGGAAGCGGAGAAGGGGAGCGCCGCCAGGGGCAACATCCACAGCGCCTTTCCAAGCAAAATGGAATCGATAAAAGGGAAATTAACGCAGCCGTCGGATGTGGTTAAGGACAAACGGGCAGCGCGTGAGATGGGTGGAAGAGAGAAGCTGGTCGTCGTAAATGTGGAAGAAACCCCGACGGAATCTGTGGCGTCCACTTTCCAAGTGGCTGATCAGGCGCCGGAGAGAACCTGAACGACGTCGTG